TGGCAGGTACGTACATGCTATGTGCTTGTATGTTAATTTTTTATCTAAGTGTTAATTGCCGTTAATTTTATTTATGCCTTAATATTAGTTCAAGCGGCTCTTATGTTACACCTTGAACGAAATGATACCTCTCTACCTCCGGATGAAAATGAAGAAAGACGCAGAATATTCTACTGTGCTTATTATCTTGATAGGTGCGTATTATTATTATTATTATTATCTTTATTTTATCTTTATTATTATTATTATTATCTTTATTTTATCTTTATTATTATTATTATTATCTTTATTTTACCTTTATTATATCTTTATTTTATCTTTATTTTATCTTTATTATTATTTTTATTATAATTATTATTTATTATTATTAAAATCATGTTAATAACCTTTTTACTATTGATTTACTTTTTATTGTAGATGGTCATCTTTAACATTTGGAAAACCTTTCGTCATTGATGATATAAATATCAACGTTCCTTTACCTACTTTATCTTCATTTGAAGCTTCAACAAAACAATTCTTTATAGCAACGATAAAGCTATCACGTATACTTGGCCTAATTTGGAATTTTGGTTATTCTTCTCAGTCTCTAGCTTCTCGTGAAAGTTGGCTCTTTCATGCAAATGATCGAAAAATCATGCTAAGGCAAATCCGTTCAGAATTAACAAGATGGTTAAGAGAATTACCTGTTGACCTTCGATGTCAAGATTTATCAGATGCTGATTCAAGTCGTACCCAATTATCCAATTTTTCCCTTTTTGCTGGTAATATATTTATACTTCTATTTTTCTCGCCTATGACTTTATTATTTATTTATTTCTTATTATCTTTATTTTTAGGCTACCTAAACATTCTTTTTCACACTTGTATACTTTTACTTTACCAACCTTATCTAACCCAAATAAGTGGTCCAACAATTGAGGTGGAAAAACTAGGCCAAGATGGTCCCGTTCAACTATGTCTTACTGCTGCTACTACAATTGCTGAAATCTCTAGAAAAATGCAAAATTATAATCAAAAAGCTTTTCGTAGCTGTAGACTTCCTATCTATTGTTTATTTCAATCAATCATATTGGAATTAATAATTATGAATGGTGCTCAAGTGTTTGAATCAATTGCTAAAAAAGCTTTAAATAATTCTCTTTATGAATTAACTTTTGCTGCAAAACATTCAAACGTCGTTTTTTCTAAATGAAGCTTCTATTGAAACTGAAAAACTAATTATGCGGACTAATGGAAAATTAAAATGGTTCGAAAATAAGTTTACTTTCTCTATGGATGATTGTATGGATGATTCTACTGATGAATTTACTGATGAATATACTGATGAATATATAGATGATTATATGGATGAGTAACGAATCTAATCTAAATTTAAAATTACTACTTTTTCCACTTCATATGATTTGTCGTTGTATGGTTTTTCCTAGATTTTCACGTGCTACTTGTGTTTTTCCTGGCACGTTATTAACATTATTGTTATGTATTTATGTATTATTATATTATGTTATTACAAGTATGCATAGTAATACAGTAAGCAGTGGATGTAGTAAGTAATGCAGTAATATATAGCTATGTAGATCATTTAAGCCTTATTGGTGCGAACATGTACATATTGTTATAAACCATTTTATGTAATAAAAAGTTCTATATGTATTTCCTATGTATATAATAATCTTTTTTCCATATACGTACAACATCAAATATATAATTTGTTTCAATAATAATTTATTATTATCGTTATTATCGTTTTATCGTTATTATCGTTTTATCGTTATTATCGTTATTATCGTTTTATCGTTATTATCTATCGTTATTATCGTTATTATCGTTATTAGTCTTATCTGGATATTCTACACGTGATTTTGCATATTCTGATTTTAACAACGATTGGTAAAAAATGCATCGTACAAATTTGACAATACTATAAAAAAATATTTAAATTTAGATAAATCACGTCATTTAAGTACAACTTTTAAACGGCAATGTCCGTCTGAAAAAAAAACATCATAACAAATTTACCACATGTGTGAGAATGGAATATCGATCATTAAATGACAGAAACAAACATTAAAAAATATCTTATTGTACTTTGACTTACGTACAAAAGTATTGTTTATATGCTGTATAACCTTGATATAATGAAGTTTTAGAATTGCTGCAAATTTTATACAATAAAATAAATACATAAGTTAATGTTAGGAATGCGTAATACATATTCAGTTTATTTTTCCTAGTTTCATCATTAGAAATTGTTTAAAAATACAAGTCACTCTGGTTATAGTGAGGCGATCACTATTTCGAGTGTCTATATATCGAGTGTCTATATATCGAGTGTCTATATATCGAGTGTCTATATATCGAGTGTCTATATATCAAGTGTCTATATATCAAGTGTCTATATATCAAGTGTCTATATATCGAATATAACAAGAGGTTCGATATAATTTAATTTAAAATTTTTGAACACTTGGTTGTTATCCCTTGCTTGCGCATTTATTGCTGTTTGCAAAATTTTGTGAAATTTGCAGACCATTAAGAAAAAAAATTTTTAGGTGATTTCTGATTTCTTAAAATTACTCTGACATGATAGTTTCATATCCAAATATTGGTGTAGTTTTAAGAAATCAGAATCACCTAACAATTGTGTGATTTCTTTTTTTTTTTTAAATGATTTGCAAATTTTGCAAACTGTAATAAGAAGGTTTATATTACCTTAAATGAAAATTTGTTACGCGATGAATAAAAATAGTTTTTTTTTAATACAGTAATTCGCATATTAACTTATTTGATTTGCCAATAATCACGCGTAGGCTTTTTTAAATCATCCAATCACATTAATAATAAAACAATTAAAATAATTTAAAAGTTCATTACATAATCAATACGTGATGGGTTTTACCGCAAAATCCCGACATCCCAAATCTCGACAAGCCATAATACTGACATCACGCGATGTGACAATAAAGTCCGACGATAATTGTTAATGTGATTATTAATCTTTAAATATTAATTGTCACGTCGGGATTATGGTTTTCGAGATTTTGGATGCCGGGATTTTGTAGTAAACTAAAGTGTGTCAGGTTTGTGGCGCAGATTTTCTAAACTACGTAATGAATGAATTAGATTTCAAAATTAAATGTATTATATATAGTATGTTTATAAAAATTTATAATGTGTTTGTTTTGTCAAAAATCATTTATTTCTCAAAAAATCCGTATAAAAACTACTTAAGGGGTAGTCCGCAGCTAAAGGGTAGAAATTTCATAGTAAAAATCGGCCATATGAGGCTGATTTTTGGAATTACTATTTGAGTAAATTTTTTTTTTAAAATTTAATCTTAAATAACTTTTATAAATTAATCTGTTTAAAATAATTTTGGTAACAAAATTATTTTAAACAGATTAATTTATAAAAGGTATTTAAGATTAAATTTTTAAAAAAAAATTTACTCAAATAGTAATTCCAAAAATCAGCCCATATGCGGAATCACTTATAGAATTTTAATAGTAGTGTAATGGCCAACAATTTGCACAAATAGTACTAAGCAAACTTCTTTTTTTACTAAGTAAGTTTTTCTTTGACTTCTAATTAGGGTTGTAAATTTACAGCAAATTTTAATTTTTTTATGTAAGGTAAATTATAAGCATGTAACTTACATGTAAGTATGTAAATTAAATAATATAATAATACTGTATAATATAATTATAATTTTTGCTAAAAAAATGATTCTCTAAAACTAAAAAGATTTTATAAATAAAAGTTAAATTTTTAACTTTTCAATAATCTAATTTAAATAAAAGTTTTTTTATTATTTTGTAAAGCTTAGTAGTTTTACAATTTGCATAGTTTTAAAGAAACAAGTTTTAATTTTTTTATTTTTTATTTTTTTTTAACTAGCCTCTTTGGGGCTAAGGTTTTTATTTAAGTTAATAGATGAGAAGGCTCACAATGGAATTTCCATTACATTAGAGATTTTATCTAGCTACATATATACTTTTGGTATCTAATTTAAGTAGTTTACCTATTATTGTAGATTCTACACTATGTGTTGTATCTGTAATTCAACTATAGGTATTACTCATTTAAACCCTCTGTAATGCAACCCACTTGTATTATCAGTATATCTCTGTTATATTTGTTAATCAAAAAGTTTTGGTTGCTTTCTCTATTTTCTTGAAACTAATTTATTCTCTAGGCGTCATTGCTAAAGCTTTTTATATCTACAATCTGGTTAATCTAGACTTTGATAATTTACATCAAGTCTGAGAACAAGTACTTGTAAGCTAAAGCTGCTATCATTATCTATTTTTGCCCTTGTAAAGTTTATCTAAACCACAGCATTCACTATATAGACTATCTACTATATTTTCAGTTTCTTTAAACTTCTGATTCAGATAGTCTAGAAGAGCAATTCTTTCTTCTAGTTATCTAATAGCCTGATTAGTGTAATGCTTTGTCAAATACCTCAGTTCTGTTCAATTTTTTTTGGTTCTTTAGATAAAATAATTTTTTATATAGCATTGTTAAAAGTTTGTACTACTTTTCTACTCAGATCTTGCCAAGTAGACTTCTGTATGTTTTAAACCTCTAGATTTACTCAGCTGCTTTACTCAGATTTTGTATAATTTATACATTACACTAATGTTCTACAGCTTCTCAGTATAAGCTAGTATGACCAAAGTTACAGATGTCAATCTATTAGATTACATGCAGTCTGCTATAATACATTCTATAAAATTTGAATTTCATCATTAGTAGGATTCGAACTCTTGTTCTGCCACTTGAAGATGTGACAACTTACCAATTTTACTAAGTCACTACATTCACAAAAACAAGTTTTTATTATATTATATATATCCTAAACATTATATAAGTATACATTAATCTAATTGGTTAATTTATTGTACATATTATAGTATATATAATAACTTACTATATATTGCAAATTTTAAATATAATTTATATATAACTTACATATAAGGTAAGTATATAAATTATAATCTTACAATCCTACTTCTAATTAAAGTTGTAAAGAAAGTTTGTACAGTTCTAATAATAATAAAATTATTAAATTTGGTTTGGTGAATTATAAGATATCAATGATTTACATTTTATAATTATATGAAATTTTTTTGCAAATCTGTAAAAAAAATTTTTATATAATCATGAAATATAAATTGCAATCTTATTATCATTAGAACTGCATGAACTTTCTCTACAACTTTAATTAGAAGTCAAAGAGAAACTTAGTAAAAAAAGATTACATAGTACTTTTTGTGAAAATTGTTGGTCATTTTTACTACTATTAAAATTTTATATATAATATCTACCAATTTTTACTATAAATTTTATATAATATTTATATCTATTAATAGCAAATCACCTATTAAGATTTTAATAAAAAGGTTTTTGAGCAATTTTATTATATACAGTATTTTGTAAATATATATATTTTTTTTAGCTTCGCAATGTTATAAACAAATGAATTTTTATTAGATATTTTTAAGTAGTACATTCACCACCATCTACAATTATGCTGGCCCATAATCTTGTGCTGCTTCATTAAAGACCACCCAGATCGATATGTGCTACACTACTTGTATCCTAATTTTATAGATAACTTAGTAGAGTTCTTATACTATCGAGTTGTTCTAGAGGTGTAATATATATCTTCTAATCTTTTTATGTCCTATACATTTTCAGACTAGGCCTTTTTAGTAACTTATACTGAGTCCTAGAATAAGTACCATATTCTTCCAAAAATAAGCTACCCTTTTTGGCAAAAATGTTATACAAAAATCATGGGATAGCTTATTTTTAGGTAAAATTAATTTTTATTAATTTTTTATAAGTTACAAGTAGTTTTTATATATATAAGTCAAAATTTTACTAAGTAAATCAATATTAATCACTTAATACAAGTTGTTTAGGAGGTAAAAATACATATATTCTAAATGTTTTATGCAAATTAGAGAACTTTTTATTAATACATTTTTGTATTTTATGTTTAAATATAAAATGCAAAAATGTATTAATAAAAAGTTCTCCAATTTGTATAAAATTTTTAAAATATGTGTATTTTTACCTCCTGAACAACTTGTATTAAGCGATCAATATCAATTTACTTAGAAAATTTTTACTTTAATATATAGGAACTACTTGCGACTAATAAAAAAATTTTAAGGGTAGCTTATTTTCAGAATAAATAGAGATGGATCAGTTCTGAGAAAACCAAATAAGAACCAATTTTTTTAACTAGTCTTATAGTTAACTGGTCCCTAGTCCTGAGACCAGTCTGGACTGGTCTTCATGAATAATTCAAATAACTAATTAAAAAATATGTTATATAATCATT